ACGGTCTGAATCCATTCTCTCCAGGCGCGATTGGACGGTTGCGATCAAACGCAATGAACAACTCAGATTCATTTCCTCTTTAAACACGATCGGATGATCGATATCAAATCGTAATAAACATTCTAGATTTATTTCATCTTTAAACGCGATCGGACGATTGATATCAAACGCGATGAACGATCAAGATTAACGCGAGACGGGTATAAATATTTTGCATCACACTGAATTCAAACCCTAGCCGCCAGCCTCTCGCTAGAGAATAAGAACTAGTCGCTGGAGAAGGGAGCAACTTGCTACCCGTCGTCGTGCCGAAGCCACTTCTAATCGCAAAAAAAGATAAAAATTCTCCTATCCGCTCGAAATTTGATTCTGAGCACCTCCATGGCCAAATCGGAGCAAAAGAAACGACGGGTGAGTCAGAAACTGCGGGCAAAGCTTGACGCTGCCTCCTATGAGCCCCTTCCTGTTTTCTGTTTCGTGCGATTTTTTTACTGTTGTGTTCACCGTTCTATTTTCTATAGGTTGACTGAAGAAAAATACCCAGCCGTGAAGGTGAGCTGGTGAACCCACCATACTGAAAAATTCTGTCACTAATAGGTTTCTATTTTTTTATTTTTTTGGCCAATTGAGGCTCCTTAACGTATTTTATCGCATAGATGGGTATAAAATCAGTTGAGACTGACCAAAACTGGTCGAAAACGGTCAGACCGAAGGAAACTATTGCCTGTGGTGGCGGTGCCGTCGCTGGAGCACGACGATGGTGCTGTGTCGGAATCCTAAAATTGGCTAAAAAGAATTTTTAACATTGATTTTAGATTTTTGTTGTATTTTTAGGTACGTGAAGCGTGTTTTAATATTCGTAGGAAAATTTAGGAAACCAACTGGACTGCCAGTAGGCGCAGTAGAAAGTTCAGTGTTTCGGACATCGATTCGAGTAAGAATCACTCATCTTATTCTCTGTTATGGAATTAAAACTTAATAATCGATAATATGGTATTTTGTATAATTTAGAAAACTTTGAGAATAATTACAGGTTACTAATGGAGGCGGAACTGATTAGTTTTTTATTTGTTATGTTTAATTAATTGTTGAATTTACAACTTTAAATACATGATGATATATTGAAATAGTTGAATAATTCAGTTGTGCTTCCTTAATATATATATTGCTTATCTTGCGTAATTTACGGTTAATTTATGAAATTAAAAATTAATATACAAACGAAAAATTGTTTTGTCATGTAAATTAATGAATGACAGCCTTACTGGATATCATGGGAGATGGTAGACGGACTGGATACATAGAAAACCCTACTGTGAACGTTGTTTCATACTGGACAGGGTATCGAGGAATGATATTTTTGGCGCTCATACCGGAAGAGTTATTGAAGGATTGTATTTTTGGCGCTCATACTGGACGGGGTATGCGGACGACCGGTTAGTTAATAATGTTGAATATTGAATATTGCTTCACACGTAATGGGACATCCTTATGGGACTCTAGGGATACAAGTAAGCAAATAAAAAAAGAAAGTGGTTATTATTGCTCACTTGAAAATGAGATTGGAATGTTATTTGAGTTATTATTCCTATAGGTCGATTTTGGAAATATCATAACGGTAAATATATGCAATAAATGGTTTTCCTTATGATAAATAAATTTACTTAAATCAAGATCTCTATTAGTTATTTTTATGATTTTTACCAATATTCAGTTTCTGTATCGGTGAGTAGTGTGATATTCTTACTGGGGTAATATAGCTCACCTTTTCATTAACTATTTCAGATCAAGAGAACCAAGACTCATATCCTGATCAACAAGAGGGTTGTGAATAGTTCACCAGCCGGATTTCCTTCAAAAGCTAGTGAAGGTCGTCGTAGAATGCTCAGTATATTGCCTTTTATTTATTTCTTTGATTTTCATATGTTCTTTTAGAAGAGACATTCTCGTAACTTTATTGGGCATTCTAAATTATTATGTAAAGAATGTAAACCATAAACCCTATTATTTCGCTTCTGTATTTAATTTATGATTTTATTTTCATTTAAGTTTCGGGTCTTTACATTTGATATCAGAACTGCGTTCTTCGAAACCATTCCTTACACAAAAACCTTAGGAAACACCAAAAAAAAATTATCGCTCAACTATTTCTTGTGAAATGCATGTACAGATAGATGAGAAGAGGAAGACCCCCACTAAACTGAGCAGCCCAGGAGGGTTCGCTTTGAGAGGATGTTGATCGACTCTTTAAAATACTGAAGAGACTAATTGTTGCCCAGTAGGCTCGGGAGGAAAAGAGGGAACTACCTAACCCTTCCCCGCTGCCACAGATTGAGCCACCCCTGCAGCGGAAGGATCTTGAGCCACCCTAATATAATCATACTCCTCTACAGTACCATCTGGCACCACCACATGGTTCAATGCCCCAACTGCATCACCCGGCACCACCACAGTACAATTTGGTGCCTCCATCGGATCATCCAATACCACCATAGGGCTATTCAGTCCTTCCCCAGCACAATTCAGTCTCTCTTCCACAGGACCCAGTTTCACCCATAATAGACTTATGTTATATTAAGAGGTACAAAAAACTAAACACATCTATTTTTACAGGGGTATCCTACTAGTTAGCTGAGACAGAGAAGACTTTCATGACTCTTGAGGTGGTTTCCGAACAGAGAGTTATAATCACTACTTACATGCTAGTAAGAGAGATAGGTCACTGGTGGCAACTCAAGAAGGCCATCTTGCCAGTTCCAGTCACTTAGGATCAATTCTTGATAACCTTCAATCCAATGTACCTCCTAGAGTATCTTCGATATCTGAAAGAAATGGAGTTTGCACATCTGGTCCAATGTGATATGACTGCGTCAGAATATGCCCGAAAGTTTTTAGAGTTAGACTGGTATTCCCCTGAGAACATGATGGATGAAGGCAGAAATGCAAGAAAGTTCAAGTGGGGCCTCCATCCTGAGATTAGACAACAGTTGTATGTGTTCGATCTCACTATTTACTTAGTCATTTTAGCCAAGGCACAACTAGTGAAGATGAACCTTCGCATTTTTTCTCAAGCAGTAGGGAGCCTCAGACCCCCGGTTTCACACCACAGACCAGCAGCCACTGCACCTGTTCAGCAACATAAGAGACCTAGGCCAGTGACTCAAACTCCTCTCCAGATTCCGGCAACAGAACGCGACAGGACTTGCCAACACTGTTGCAAGAATCATGGGGACCGACCTTGCTATCGGCTCAACAATACTTGTCATATATGTAGGAGTACCCAACATTACGCGAGAGAGTGCCCGAGGAATCAGAACCAGGTCAAACCTCCTATTCAGGGCAGAACTTACAACCTTACTCAATAAGATGTAGAAGCCAATCTAGACGTGATACAGAGTACGCACATTATCTATTATCATCTTACACATATTTTAATTTATACTAGTGTCTCACGTTCGTTTGTCTTATATGCTTTTACACTAAACTCAAATATATTACATGAAAAACTTGATTCTGTGTTGTTTGTGTCTACTTTTGGGAATAGAACACTACTAGGGGAACTTATATACAGAGCATGTATTATAAATATAACAAATAGAAAATTGAGTTTGGACCTAATAGAGATTGACACGGAGGACTTTAATGTAATCCTATGAATGAATTAGCTAGTGGCGTATCACGCAATCGTTGGTTGTTTTCACAAAAAACCTGTATTCAACCCTTCTAATGAAAAGTTATTTACAAATTAATAAAATTCTTTAAACATTATTCCCTCATGGCAATTTTTCTATTACTAAGTGCTTTAACTCGACTGTTTTATCTAACTAGGCAAACCTAAGAAATAAATTTATATTCAAGAGATTCTAGTAGTCTGAAAACTTCTCGGATGTGTTTTCAGATGACCTACCCGGACTGCCAGTAGATAAAGAAGTTGAATTCACCATAGATCTTCAGCCAGACACCCAGTCTATCTTGTTTGTCCCTTACTGCATGAGCCGTGTTGAGATGGAAAAGCTAAAAAAACAGATCAATAACTGCAGGATAGTAGATTCATTCGACATAGTGTGTTCCCTTGGGGTGCTGGAGTCATATTTGAAAGGAATGTGGATGGGATGTTAAGATTATGTATTGACTATAAGGGACTGAACATGGTCACGATAAAAAACAAATACCTAATCTCTAGGATCGATGACCTTTTTGATCAGTTGTAGGGTGCCCAGATCTTCTCCAAAATAGATCTGTATTCGAGTTATCATCAGGTAAAGATCAAGGTAGAAAACATTCCAAAAACAGTTTTTCGAATCGAGTACGGATACTATGAGTTCCTAGTCATGCCAAAAACTTAAATTATAATTGAATCAAAAAATGACAATTCACATTTTTTAAAAGTATAAAGATTTTTTTATATATATTATCCTAATAGAGATTATAACTAAATGGGGCGAGTATGATGACCGACCAACCTACCAAATTGACCATGTCACCATCTGCAGCTTCACTGAGCTTGCAAATTCGTTCGGGGTTTGCCACTTGAGAAAAGCTCAATGCCTTCGGAGGAGAAATATGTCTCGCAACTTGCTTTTCGTTTATATGAAGTTTTAGAAATTTATTTTTATGATTAATATCCTTAAACTAATAAGAAAATATCAATCAATTGATTAATAATAATAAAAATAAATAAAGAAGCCTTGCATGTAAAGCGAGCTAAAGTATGTACATATTTAACAGGTAGACATATGTATAGATGCATACATATATGTAAATAAATATGTTTACAGTAAATTCTTTTTCAATTAGAACATGCAATATTTTCCAATGAGAAAATGTATGATATAAATGTCAATATACAGATTTTCTATTGATGATAACATTAAAATTTATTTGTTTGGCGTAAGGCAGGCAAGAATAGAGGAAGTGTTTTATGTTTAAATTATTTGATTGTGATGTGTATCTAATTTTATTAAATCAGTTGAAATAAATAGCATTCGGATAGTCAGCAATTAAAAATTTTAGTAAATGGAAATTAAAATGCTACATGTTTCTTTATTGTTCAGTCAAACATTCATATGCATGGGAAAGTAGGCTGCATTTTCTCACTTAGCCGCACGTTTAAACCTAGTGTTTTTTCAATAATTTTGGTTACATTCTAGAACATCCATTATATGCATTCTTTCTACTGAATGACTGCACTGAATCTCTAATTGGAGCTATGTGAGAGTTGTGAGAATATGAATACTCTTCGGGTAGACTCAGTAAAACCAACAGAGGAAGTTCTTGATAAGCCAAGCCAGCAGACAAGGATTTAGCAGTAGTCAGAGATCAATATGTTTTCCAACTGGTGAAAGAAGTACTGATTCGAGCATATTCTCCTGGAGTGGAATCGTGTTCTCTACGGTTCCTTTTCCTAGGAGGCTGTGATCTACGCCTTTTCTTTTCTGGTCTTGCAGGTGGAAGAATAAGTGAGGCTGCACTTCCGAATTCTGCAAAACCGAGCCCTTTTGTGAAACTTGATGAGATAAATGCTAAATTATTAGCACCCAAAACTAGGACTTTTTTTAAACTTGATGAAATAAGTGTTAAATTATTACCGCTTACAACCCAGTGCAAATGTTCTTGATGAGCCATTGCAAATTAATGTTCTCTTTACTGTATCTTTCAAAATTTTCAGTGAATAGATTGACACAATCCTCCTCAGACCACTCCATGATCCAAATTAAGAAAAAAGAAAAGAACTTTTCCCTGAACTTTTTTCATTAATGAGTGTAAGAGAAAGCAATATACATGTATGCTTGAAACT